CACGTTACCTGGGAACAGCATCGATAGTCAGCTTCTGCTCCCGGATCAAGTCCTTGCAGAACGTATTTTCGTTGTCATCTTTAACTATTTATTAGGCGCGTTAAATTACAAATTCCTAATAATGGAGTGATTAAAGATGAAGATAATTGTGCATGATTTTTCTTCCTTGGGCAAGGAGGCTGCAACATTTGACCTCCTACTAACCCACTGTCACAGCTTTTACCAAGGAGCGAGATTTCAATTGTTTGCACGATTGATTTAGTTAGTTGCAGATAGGTTATTGGCACAGAGGAAAAGAGAGAGAGAGAGAAAAGGCTGTCATATGTTTTTCAAAAACAGGTTCCAGAAAGGTTTAGGTATTATCGCCTTCTCCTCCTCTTCATTTTTCTTTTTCTTCAAATGCCTCTTTTTTCTTGATGGTTGTTGGCGGTGGTTAATCAGGCTTTAGTGTATTAAAGCTAGCTGTATATTTACAACTAACTGATAACCATTGCCATGAGCAAAACCAGAGCTACGTGTGGTCCTTAAATTTGGTCTGCAGGCTATATATTCAAATATTACGATCAAGAAGTCTTTGTTCATGAGAAATCAAGTAACATGCTCTTACAACATCAACAAAAGGCTTCTTTAGTTTTACGACTACTACTTTTATGAGCTATACTTGTAGAGGGAAGTAGTAGCGTGAGTACACCATGCAAGGAAAGTAAGTGTCTTGAGAATTAAGACTTATTTTTAGCAGAATCATCGTCCCTTGTCGTGTGTAATAGTACTGCTAGTAATTAATCTTCGTCTAATCCTTGTAGGGAGTAGTATTAGTCACTACTTCACGTGGTCCTCCTCAATTATCTGTTCTTATTATGCCTTGTTATAAAACTTCTTCTTGGCTCTCTCATGGTAAGAGTGGAAAGGCACAGAGGTCATGACCTGTAAATAAGCAAGAGTAAAGGTTACTACTACCAGACAAGTATCAACGTATGCTGAAGGGAAAAGAAGAAGAAGAAGAAGATACTCGGATCAGCATGGACTAGAAGAGCAGAGCCCTTGAAATCGCAAGTGCCACCTTGGCCTTTGAATTTCTGCCAGTAATCGTTGAAAGCAAAAGAAGCATGATCCTTGAGTGTATTGGGGAGGAAGCAAATACCCGAAGGTTGAATGGAGCTACAGTTTGCACCCCCTTGGGTTGAGCACGCCCAATCAAGCGCCTCTTGAAGACCTTCATCTGTTGCCTTGTCCGACGCCACGCACCATTGTTGCTGCTGCTGCTGCTGCTCTCTGTCAACTTCCAGTACTGTTACAAGTATTGACAATAAGGTAATTAGACTCTGTACAATTATGGTGGACTAAGTGAAACTCTTTATCTCTGCCTATTATCTATACAAAGTTGCATGTAAAGGTATGGCGGTTAGTACCTGAGCCTGATGTTGCTAGAATCATGATCAGCATAAGAGAAGAAAGCAGCAGCAGAAGTTTCGTTGGGAAGGTTCTCATCATATACTACGTACAATGGTATATACAACTGACAAGTGCTCTTGTTTTAATTTTGTGTATTAATCCTCTGTTCCTCAACCCTCCAGTTGTAAACTGTGCGTATATATACAGACGACGACGATGACAACGAGGGAGGGAGGAGGGGCTATCAGGCCTTCTACATGAAGCTGAATTCAATGCTACAAACCCTGCGCATGTTGTTATCGTGACCTCTCCTCCATCTTCTTTTACCAACCAAAAACCCCATACCCAACAAATTCTAGCAAGCGAGCAGGCACTATGCATGTGATCATCGACACATAATTAATCCTAGTCCTACTCCTGGATGTGGACCACAAATGTCTGTGAGAATAGATATGACTGGAGATGGAAATTTTGGGCTCGATTGGGGCAGAAAGAAGAAAAGCACGGGGGGGTGGGAGGCAATTGAAGATGTATTTTATGACGTCAAATATGGTGAGACCCACTGTGGCATAGATATCCTGCCTGGTTTCCCACTTCTATTTAACTTGGATTCTATTTGAAGAAGGTGCTAGTAGATGCTAGGATTATACTCCACTTGCCTCCTAAAAAAATTAGATACGAAAGTAATTCGTCAAATAATAAAAGAAAATTACTTGACCAACATTTAAGAAGAACTAACAGTCGATCTGGTCTACTACTCACGTACTTCCACCCTTGAGTAATCAGTCGACAAGACCTTAGGAGATTCAGGGCCCCTATGGCATTGCCTCTCTTTTATATATATATATATATATATATTATTAGTAGTGTAATAGAAAAATTCATGAGAGTATCTCCATTAATCCACTGGACCAGGAGGGACCAGGTGAGACTGTCAAAGGTCCTGGTTGCATGATCTACTGGTTCAGTCATATTAATTGAAGCAGTAGATCATGCAAACCAGATGGTCGCAGGCTCAGCTCCGCTTGGTTTACTCCTTCCTGGTCCCATGAATTTAGGGTTCCGACTGTGAAGAACAACCAGTTATATAATGAGTGTTTGGTAAAAAAAAATTTGCATACTTATTAAAATACTTTTCCTTTTAAAGGAATGCTTTGGAAGCAATCTCGCTGATGCTTTTGAAAACAACTTGCTGCTTATCATGCTCTTCTCTCCTTTCCTTACGAGTCTCGTCACAGAATATGAGTAGTTATAATCTTCTCAGTAATTTCTCTTTTTATTCTTTTTCTTCTAATTCACAATCTTAAGAATTCTTGCTTGGTATTCTTAGTTTTCATTTTAGAACATCTCTGGCTCAAAACTTTGGACATACTTAAGAATCCCTAAATGCATTTTTCTTAAATATACTCTCGTGCTCGTCTATATTATATATATCATATATATATATTACTACCTATATATATATATATCTATAATATATATAGTGAGAAAACTGGAGAAACTTGGTAACCAAGTTGCTCCAGAACAACTTGGTAGTAAAAGATCAGTGGCCTTTAATCTTATCCCTACATCTATTCATATGGGTTGTTTGGAAGGTGGTGATGTTGCTCTATCTTTCGATGGGTGTAGATGTAGGTGAGAAGATTAGGCACTATCATCACTACCAGATTTCCAAGTATAGCTGTTAAGCAACTTGGTACCAAAGGTTCTGCGCATAAGTTGGTGTAAGATAGAATTATATATGATGAAGTATATATATATAGTTGTATATATATATATATATAGTGAGAGAAAGAAATGGGTATGCTTAGAACCAAGCATAAGTTTTTGTGCTTGGTAGTGAGGTGGCATAATCCCCTCCACTCATTAAAATCGGGGCCCACATCATTTGGGTTGAGGAGTGGTTAGAAATTAGAATGAGTGGATAGAAATATGACACCTCACTACCGAGCATAAAATTTATGCTTGGTACCAAGCATACCCATTTTTCTCATATATATATATGTGAGAAATATGGGTATGCTTGGTACCAAGCACAAATTTTGTGCTTGGTAGTGAGGTAGCACAATACCCTCCACTTATTAAAATGGGGGACCACATTCACATGGGTTGAGGAGTGCATGTGGATATACAACCATTTGAATGAGTGGAGGAGATTATGACATGAGTGGAGGAGATTATGACACCTCACTATCAAGCACAACTTTTTGTGTTTGGTACCAAGCATACCCATTTGAATGAGTAGAGGAGATTATGACACCTCACTAATACCCGGTAAGCATGCACCGGAAAATGATATTGATGTCTACTTAGAGCCTCTAATTGATGAGCTGAAATAATTATGGTCTGAGGGTATTTTAGCATAAGATTCCCATTTAAAAGAGTCGTTTAGATTACGTGCTATTCTATTATGGACGATTAATGATTTTTCAGCTTATGCTAATCTGTCCGGGTACTCTACGAAGGGCAAGTGTGTTTGTCCTGTATGTGGTCCGGAATTTGAAGCTCTTCAATTACCACATAGCCGAAAGAGTTGTTATTGGTTTAATTGAAGGTGGTTGCCCTTGAGTCATAAGTACATGAAATTATCAGCTATGTTTGATGGCACAGTTGAGAAAAGAATGAAGCCGCATCAACTGACAGGTAATGAGATCGTAAAATTACTTGAGGGGTTTCCAAAAGTTATGTTTGGAAAAAATCGCTATTCTAAATTTAACCCGCTCAGAGTAAGAGATTAGTTAAAGTCAAAAAAAGTCATTGAAGCGTAAGCGAAAGGTCCGTAAAATGCAAGTTGAGGAAGACGCCCAAAAATTACCTAGAGGATGGATTAAATTTAGTATCTTCTTTTAGCTACCTTACTGACAAAATCTTAAAATCCGACACAACTTAGATGTCATGCATATTGAGAAAAATATATGTGATAACATAGTATCAACTCTCCTACAAGATGCAAACAAGTCGAAGGATGACCTACGGGCTCGCCAAGATCTGACTGCTTTGAATATCTGAAATGATTTGCAAGCTCAAGACGTTGGCCTTAAAAAATTAAAGTTGCCTCCGTCTCGTGTTACAATGTCAAATGAGCAGATGCAACGAGTTTGTGAAATTCTTAAATCGGTAAAGTCGTCGGATGGTTACTCTGCTAACATTTTAAATAATGTACAAGTACAAGAGAGAAAACTCTTAGGTCTGAAGACCCATGATTATCACGTTCTTCTCCATCAATTACTCCCTGTTGCAATCCATAACAATATGGAGAAAGAAGCGTCGAAGATTATTATTGAGTATTGTGGATTTTTCAGAAAATTATGCTCTAAAGTCATAGATGTAGATGAATTTAAAAAACTTAAAGCCGAGGTCCGAGCTACTCTAAGCAATATGGAGGTAATATTCCCTCCTTCATTTTTTACAATTATAGTCCATCTTACCTAGCATCTTGCAAGAGAGGCTAGAATCGCCGGTTCTGTTACTTATCGTTAGATGTATCCGATTGAAAGGTAATTTATGATTTTTCTTATATTTATTAATTGTATATGCGTTTTTAAAATTACCGTGCTAATAATTAACTTTTATGATTCTAAGATACTTGGGCTGCATGAAACACAATGTTCGCAATCGAGCTCGTCCCGAGGGCTCGATAGCTGAAGGATACATGGCTAACGAATGCTTTGTGTTTGCATCACGTTACATACGCAAGAAGAAAACCACATCTCAAGCACTTGATAAGGAGAGGAAGCGTGAAAAATACCCAAGATCTCTCTTAGATCAAATTCATGCATATGTGTTGGAAAACCTTGATATGTTCGCAGACTATCGAAGGTTCATGCATATGTGTTGGAAAACCTTGATATGTTCGCAGACTATCGAAGGTAACAAATAAAATCAGTAATATAGATGAGAAATATTCTATCGAAGGTAACAAATAAAATCAGTAATATAGATGAGAAATATTCATTTTATATATAGTTTATCAATACAAACTTATATATTGTTTATATAGGCAACATCTGGAGATGCTTAAGAATGAAACAACCGGTAGAAATGCCCTCGCGTTTTTGACGTTCAGTCAACACCCAACTCCGGGTCTCAATTCTAAGACGCGAAGTTAGGGTCCTGAACGCCAAATTGGGCGTTTGACTCATTCAAACATGAGTCGAACTGTCTCAGAACCGTTTCCCCCACGATTTGAGGGATTTTCGCCCACTTAGGAGCAGATTTAAGGGTTGGTTACACCCCTTATCCTCATATAAATAACCGCGTTACTCAACTGAGTAAAGGGGTTGAAGATTTAGGCATCTAAACCGCACAAGGTCAGATCTTTTTTGGAGATAGAGGTTCGGAAATTGGAGATTTCGCCTAGATTTCGAAGATCAAATCATCTAGAGTTCTTGGCAGTTAGGAGATCAGATTCTTCAGCAAACAAATCTATTTGGCTTATTAATCGATTATTCGGTTTTAACAACTCTTTTCACAGAGTTTTAACTCGTTCTGAGTTTTTAAACTCGTTAAGAGTTATTCTTCAAATTTACCATAAAAGTTCATTGTTCCCACGAGATAAAAAACGGTCGGATCGTCAACGGAGAGCAAATTCGACGCAAACATTCGAAGGAGACACTCCATCGCTACCGAGAAGAACCCAGAATTAAACAAATGGGAGAATCCAGATCATTCTGTTCTCTTTTGTAATCAGGAAATCCAATTGTAACTGAGATTAAAGGAATACAAATCAATTTTTCTTTCATTTCTCTTACTTCAAATTTTCCATCAAACACTCATGAAAATTAAAGCCCATCCTCTGAAGAATTTGGTAAATAATAAATTGAGCTTTGACATTAATTGGACATCAATTGGGCATCTTGATCTTTGGACATGCATGTGTTGTTCACTCATATTGATTATTATGTGTATTTATTATTGCTATGTATATGCATGTGTGGTTTTATCATATAAATAAACAAAAGTACATGAATATCCATAACAATAAATGGAAACTTTTACAATTATATGAAAAAGTTGAAGGGTATTTTTGGATGAAAAGTTTTAATACCCTTCACCACTTTTAGAATAGTTATAGTTATAGGATAAAATTGGAATTAAGAAATTTGTAAAGGGCAAAATGGGTATGCAAAAGTTTTGACATTTGTTTTCTCTTTTAGAAGTAGTATAGACAATTCGGCAAAATCGAAACTAAGAAATGAACTTAGAGAATATGTAATTAACAAAATCATCAAGGGATATGTTATGCTTTCTAAGACAGATTAAAATAGTTAAGTATCACAATCTCAGCAAGCATTTATAGGGGGTTTAGTTAAGTATTTAGTAGTGAGTTGTCAGCAAGCATTCATGAAACTAGGAATGTCATCAACTAGAAACGCTATAGTTAATGCTACAGTTTCTAAGAAAATTTAAAGGGAAAATTACGCTAAACCCCTAAGAACTTTCTGCATTTGGGAGTAATCCCCAATGACTTTCAAAATCACGTTAAACCCTTAATAACTTTTGCAGAATACCGACAATACTTTTGGCTAAAATTAAACTAAACCTCTAACACCTTTTCAGAATGTTTGTTTATGTTGTTCTTTGTTTCTAATTTACATAGTTGTCTACAAAACATGGACACTTATTCGGGGATTTTTGCAGTTCAGAAAAGAGTTATTAGCGGTTTAGTGCAACTTTGAAACTTATTGGCGGTTTAGTGCAATTTACATAAAATTAAAATAGCTAGGTATTTAGTTTTCAGCAAGTGCGGTTCAGAAAAGAGTTATTAGCGGTTTAGTGCAACTTTGAAACTTATTGGCGGTTTAGTGCAATTTACATAAAATTAAAATAGCTAGGTATTTAGTTTTCAGCAAGCATTCATGGGCTCTCCATTTTGTAGAATGATTAAAATAGTCAAGAAAGAAAGTAACTTTTGATATGAAAGATGATACAAAAATTAAATTAAGAGGAAAGGGAATTTTGGCCAGGAGAATTTTTTTTTAATACATTTAGTTATTAAGAGGTGGTTTGTTTATTATTTTAAAATATTAATGTCTAATAATATATATACATTAATTAAATATTATTTTAGCTAAAAAAACTTTTTAAGTTAGTATACTATTTTTATTTTTATTTTATGTGTGTGCAATTATTTTGGTCATCTCATCATTTTCCTATCAACGGAAAATATTTATAACGTAAAACAAATATATCAAACGTGCAACACACGTGGACTATACTAGTCTAAAAAAATGCACAGCAGGACAAAAATTCTTTTTTCCCCCCTCCAAATCTGCTGAAATATAAATCACAATAAATGATCTGATTAACGTTAATAGATGTCCAATTGTATAGTTTCCATAATGTGCAAATTGTCAATTACATCTCATGAATAATGTAATCTTTCACACATACGGGATAAAGGTTTATCTAACATTTATTGTCAACTTCACTCTTCAAATGAAATTTCTCAATCTCCAATCAGGTTATTTTTTCACTAAATATGAGAATCTGCTACGAATTTTCTCATTAAAGCAGCCGCAAATCTGACTCATTGGGTAGCTAGGGTTTCTCTTTAGTTATATACGCTAGCAAATCATTGGGGAAGAACGTTTTCCCAGTGACAGTGCGAGTTGACCTCGAGTTCATTGCTCCCGTTAGGAATAGACCTCTTAACACCGGAAAAGAGTCCACACGTCCACATCCATTCGTTCCATCACTGACCAACTCCAGCAATGGATAATTGGAGGGATAATTGGCTCCAACAATGGATAATTGGAAAGGTAGAATGATGTGGCTTTGTTTGGGAATTATTGAATAAATAGGGTATTATTGAAAGGAAAACAAATCAAATTATGCCATGTGTCTTTAGTCTCCTCAATTATTTGTTGCTGGAAGACAATTCATGCGCGGGAGAAAAAGTAAAGGAGATGAGATGCACATGCACATGCACATGCGAAATAGAAAAGTGAATTATTTTTTGAATTGTCCCCTGCTGTGGAGTGCATGTGATAATGGGGACAATTGATGATGTAATAGGAGAATAATATGATGTGACAGGTAGGGGTGGGCAAAAACCGAAAAAAATCGGTTCAACCGAAAAAACCGCCCGAAAAAACGGACCGGTTAACCGAACCGAATTAAATGGATGAGAAGAAGTCTCTAAACCGCCCGAACCGAATTAAATCGGTTTGGATCCGGTTTGAACCCCTGAACCGCCCAAAAAAAACCGACCCGAATTTTGTTGGGCGGTTTAGAGACTAAACTTATACCTTAAAACTTTTCCTGTTATCATCCAATAGATTCAAACGGCGCAAGGAGCAGTTTCAAGCAACGAGTACAGCAATATCACAGAAAAATATCCTTGAGAACTAAGTAAAGATTCAAATCCAGAAAATTTGTTATGCACATGATGCACTTACAAAAGATGCATACGCTACATTATATGAACAATATCATACAAATTATCACTCCCCCGTGCAATTAAATAAACTTAAACTTTAGTTAAAAAATTTCGCAGAAAAGATCTTGAGGATTACATAAGATTCAAATCAATCACAAAATGTGTTATGTACATGATACTTACAAGAGATAAGCATGCTGTATTATATGAACAACATCTTTAAAACATCAGTTCTCTGCGTAATTATATCAACTCAAAACTTTATTCTAAAGATGATAACCAGTCTAATAAAGCTTTGTTGGCGAGCTCAGGAACCTCATCATGAGAACAATGCCCAGCTTGCAAATTCACAACAGAAGTCTTTGAATAGAACTCTTTGCAAATTCAAAACCGAAATTCGGTTGGGCCGAATATTCGGATGAAGGGGAAAAAATCTGGATCTGGATGAGAGTTTTGAGAATCCGAAGCCGCTCCTCTCTGGAATTTCAGATCTCAAAGGCTAAGGCTCTAGATCTGAAATTCCTCTCCCAAAACCCAGGGCCTCGAGAATGGAGGCCCTAGGGGCCTATTTATAGGAAAAGCAAGGGGTAGGGGTTGGTTGAGGACACTCCGAAAAATTCGGATTGGATGCGGATTGGGCATAAAACCGAACCGAACCGAATATGCCCAGCCCTAGTGACAGGGGATAAAGTGAATTTCAATTATCCCCTGCTGGAGTTGGTCAAGAGTTAAGGTTTGGACCTAAAGAAGACGGAGGAAGATGTACGGAGGACATAGTGCAGACCTTTTTTTTGTTTATATAGGTGAAAGACGTGCATCCATCGACGTACATGATTCTTATTCTTTATTGCTGCTAACATAGGATATATTAAGCGCGCGCGTACATACATACGTACATAGTTGTTTTGGAGAATGAAGACTATATATGCATATTGATGTTTGATCGAACATGGATCGGGTGTTGCCACAACCTAAAGAACAAATAGTTTAAAAAAATTGATTAAGCGCAACCCCATATCTGCCATCACTCTTACTTCCACATTACCAAGCCACTATGACTTTCTAACCAGATGCATTGCTGTTGTAACAGTTTCTATCAAAATGCCAGCGGCGATAGTACTACATCCATCTTCTTGCAAAACCCCCTGAAACAAGCAGATTCTGATTGACTAATCAACGAAAACGCAAAGACGAACAGAATATGCACGAGAACATAAGAGTCACAGCTTATACCATGGCAGCACACCCAACCAATCCAACAGCTTTCATGAGATACCAAAATTTACAATCAGAAATCCATAGCCTCCTCTTCCTCTTCAAAAATGTTGTTGAAGGCTTCTTTGCCCATCATAAGTGCAGTCAGCATTAGCTTACCTGCATCTGGAAAATCCTTGTGCAGCATCAGGATACCTTCCACTGAAGGGCCTGGCATTTCCGCATCTTCTTTCTGCAGAGGCAAGGCTTCATCAAAATCCCCATCATACATCTCAGCTTCAGGACCGTAACAACGTTGTGATGCCTTGAAAAGGATGGTTTCTTTCATAGTTTCTAGTACCACTTCATCACTCCACCCTTCCGCAGTTGAAGCCTGACTGAGAGCAGCCCAATCATTCTGGTCAACTGCATTCTTCCAGCATTCCTCCAGAAGGCTTCTGTTTGCAATCCGAAAGGAGGAGCTTGTCCATGCGAATACTTCAAAAGCTAGTAAGGATAACTCTCGGCTTTTAACTTTCAAACACATCTCAATCAGTTCTCTTGGGGGCAAGAGCTTGTTGATGTCTTGTACTTCTTCACGATAGGGATAATGTCTCATAATCTCTTCCTACAACGAGAGAAGAAGCAAACAGCAAGAGAAAGTCTCAATATACATGGTGAACATGCATACAAGCCAAACCACATAGTACAATTATTTTAAATTCTAAGCAAAAAGATGAATAGGTAAAAAGAGGAGAGAAATAGGTAAAGAGATATATTGTCTGACTCGAAGTCCCCATCTGATACATTCGTAGGTACAACGGAATATCAGCTAGTAGGTGAAGCTCTTCATGTCTAAATTCTGACGTATAGATTTTCATATATCCAGAGTAAACTAGATACACGTAACTTGAATGATCAAGAGATGGATTAATGGTAAAGGCTCACTTTGTTAGTCACATGAATCTCACCGTTTCTATCCCTTGGTAGGTCATTTTCCTAAATGAACAGCAGCCGACGCGCGCTTTCCTAAATGAACAGCAGCCAACGCACGCACACCCACACATAGTTTGACTAGGATACTATTGGTAGAATTTGAGCTTGGATGTCCACAGACAGAAAGTGTATATTATACACCTCAAATAGCACATTGTCAAGATTAAAACAAAATTGATACTCAGATAACTTCTTAGTGAAGTTTAAGAATAACACACTTATTATAAAAAATTAGTAAGTTTGTTGTTCAATTAAGCCAAAATCTTTCAACTTACCATTATGCACTAATCTTGTTTTCCAACCTCATTTATTACTTGATAGCATTTTATTAATTTTAGACTTTCGGAGGGTACATAGCAAAAGAATTGAAAACTTAGCATTGTGTCCAACAAAGTACTCTTATTTAATTACCACTACAACATTAAAAGCGGTCAAAGGCAGTAAACTTTTGTGGTTTTTTGCTTGTGCATCAAATGAAATTAAAGTGGACAAAGTGAAATGATACTAATACCTAAATTTGGTACATAACGGCTTAAACTAATTGGATTAAGATCATTTGGTTGAATTGCAAATTTCGAAGCTCCGACTAATGTTTTTAGTAGCACATGAAGCAAAATTATAGTTTACAGCTTCAAAATTAAACCAAATGATATTGATTCAAATATTTTGAAACTCTGGTACGCCAAAATTTAGGTGCTTTAAAATACTCTAGATGGCATATCTAATCAAATTTTCACGTAAAATCAAATTTTAATATAACTTGATGGTATATCTAATCAAATTTTAATATAACTTGATGCACAAAAGAATATCACAAAAGAGTACTCTCTCAGACAACCTTTAAATAATTTTTAGCAACTTTTTTCGTTAAATAAGATGGATATTTTGTTGGGATCAATGTCAATTTTTTGACTATTTCTCCAACCTACATTTGGTAAATAATCAATTATCAAAAATGCTATCATCATCAACTAAAAAAATGAGGATGTAAATAAAAAAAACGTACTAGAACTAAAATGTCTTGGCTTAGTTGGAAAACCTAATAATCTTCTAGAATAAATGTTTGTTAACCTTAAGCTCACTTAAAGTCAGAATTATATTTTAAGACATTTAAATGGTTCAAAGAACATCAAAGGGTGTGACTCATTTGTTTGAGTTGTGATAGGATCCAAACACAAATTCTAAAAATAGATCTGAGTCAAACGTCACAATATCTACATGTATATAAATGTATATAAAGAGAAGGACAGACTTGGTTTTCTTTTTCTTTTTCTTTTTTTCTTTTTTTTAAGTTGACATCTCATATGAAGTGCTTAAAAAATTTCAAGTGTTTAATTCTTTTGTCTATGCATCAAACATGCAGAAATGAATGATTGGATAATCTAAAATTAGGCCCCGAGTCAAACCTCACAATGCCTACATGTATGTAAATGTATACTAAGAAAAGAATAGACTTGGCTTTTTGAAGTTGACCGTATCATATGAAGTGCTCAGAAACCAATAATTCAAGAGTTCAATTCGTTTTGTCCATGTCTCAAGCATGCACAAATGAATGATTGAAAATATTAATTATAATTTGCTTAAACTTATGCAGTAGAGAATTTTTTTATCTAGATACTGAAAAATTCTTATATACAATTTTTTCTTCAGTGTCAAACATTTTACTTACACTATTTAACTAGCTAACTTGCCATTAGACCGTTTTTCACCTTAGAGATGCATGGGACAAAGACTGTGTTAAACATTTTGTTTTCAATTTTTAGATTCTTTCTATGATGTAGATTTACTTCAAAAGACTAGATTTTTCATATGCACTCAAACGACGAATTTGAACGGAAACAATTTGGCTCCGACTCCTCCATAAGTAGTCATGTAAACACGTACACAAATACGAAGAATGAATTGCTAGTTCAATTATGGGATATTCATTTGCATGATCTATTATTTTATATGTATTCTTCATAGCGGTTTACATTCATACGTATTACGTCTTAAAATAAACACTTAAATACCATCACAAATACCATTTCTTGTTAGGTCTCAAATATTCTAATTGTAATTAACTAAGTTGCTACTTAAACCGTCCATGTTATGTATTTTGATGCATGAGCAGATAATACTAATAAATAAGTCCTTGAATTACTTGAATATTTTTCTTCTTTTTAGACATTTTAAATGATGGAAATCAACACTAAAGAAATGAACGAATTCATATGAATGACTAAACATCAAATTTGGATGTAAAGAATTTGATCCAAACCCTTAAATTAGATCAATATTTCTCATTTTCTCTTACGATCCTATCTCATATTAAAACCCAAAAGAATACACTTTGCAATGTAAATGGAGTTCCAAACCAGTAAACTTGATATAACCACTTAAAGTTATAAAAATAAAAATGTTAGGTGATATTATATGTTTAACTATTTACGTATTTGGATAATCATGCTAATATCCATATCTTCTTATGTAACCCTCCTATTCTCTATTTAAGAGAGATGAGGATTAGATTAATATATAAGAACTTCACCTTCTCTATTCTCTACATGGTATCAGAGCCAAAGTTTTAAACGTTGGATATCGGGTTCATGTCGAACAACTAAAATTCATGTCGGAGAGCAGAAATCGGGGATATATTGGGGGTCATGTACTAAATATCGGATTGTTGTTTCGGGTCTTTCGTATTGCAATTGACACATATTATAATTGAAAGACTTACAACGACACAGGAAAAATTTATATTTGTTGGGGTTTTTTTCTTTGTGCCGATAGAGCGTCGAGCTTGTACTCCATTTGATAGTCCAACTAAGACGATAGGTCTTTCGCTGATTGATGATCTTTACTCTCTTGGAAGATAGTGCACTCTTTTCTGGATGAAGAGATATTAACAGATCCTTTCTCACAAGAATTGCTGATTAAGCTAGATGACTAGCTGAAGAGAACAAATCATTTCTCATAAGGATCGTTGATCAAGCCAAATGATTAACCGATGATAATGATCTATAAAGATCAATGAGAATGGAGAGATGAGTTTTTTGTCAATGTATCCTCTGAATCTCTCTTTTCTCAATGGCAAAGAGTCTAGCCAAGATAATGTTAGCCCCAAGACCTTTCATCCATCTTTGTGCCCCTGCAAGCCCGCTTGCTTCATGTTGATCATGTCTATCTATAGACTTGGGAACATTAAGTGTGTGAGTTAGTAGGCCTTAACTCCCCTTAAATAGGTGTATTAGTAGTCATTAACTCTCCTTAAAATATGTGAGTTAGTGGTCATTAACTCCCCATAAGTGGATGAGTTAGTGGGTGAACCATTTTCGTAAAAGTAGTTTCTGAAAACGGTTATGAGCGATGTTCGCCAATAACGGTCATGGATGAGGTTCGTCAATAATGACCATAGGCGAAGTGCATCAATAATGACCATGAGCGAACTTCGCCAGAATGGGTGACACGGCCTATGTAGGCTATTGGGCGAAACTCGCTGCTATTTAGGTGAGCTTCACTATAACTTTGGCAAGCTCCGTTGCGGCTGCGGCTTCGGCGAACTTCGATATGGCTTCGGCGAATTTCGTTATATGTCCCATGTGGGCTATTTGGGCGAAGCTCATTTTGGTCGAACCCCACTAGAAGCTTCACTTTGATTTGGTCTTGAGAGCGAGCTTCATTATAACTTGGGCAAGCTTCACTATGACTTGAGCGAGCTCCGCTATAAGCATGTGCTTGGGCCACTTCGATCTGAGTGTTCACTTCCTGAGCATATATTAAGCTCAAGTATCAGACTTGTTCCGAATGTCGATCTAAGCCTCTCGTGACTTGAGAGATCAATTTCTACAATCATTAGGATATGGATGGCGTGACCCATGTAGGTCTTTTGGGCGAAGTTCGCATAAGACTTGGAGCGAACTTCGCTACTACACTTGGACTCAGCCCAGAGTTCGATTTGAAAATGCCTTTCAACTCGGTCCAAAGTTCGACTTGAAAGCGTCTTTCGACTCGGCCCAGAGTCTAACTTGAGGATTAACTCGGACTTAGGTTTTCTTTGACTCGGATGAGCTGGGCCAGAGTTTAGCATGCAGTCATGTTCGCATGTGACCCGAACGAACTTCAATGTAGCTTATATTTGAGCTCATCTAAAGTGTTTAGCCCATGTGCATTCACTTCTTGGACTCGGACTGAGCATTGGTCTAAGAAATTGTACATTTTTACCGTCTACAATTGCCATATTTGATAGATTTCTACTCAATTTTGATCACCAAGATGGAATGCACTTGTGTTGTTATAGCTTATCCTATTTGAGTTGTGTATTCAACATCAAGACACAAGTTGTTCTCCATTTTTTGAAGGAAAACAGTGGAATATTATGCCAACAAATAAATAAAACACACATTGCCAAACTAGAACTTTCGAAGTGTCTTGCATAAAATTAACATAAAGTTAAGTGTCTTGCATAAATTTGACATATAGTGTTAAACTTTGGATTGATTTCAAGCTACAGTTCAAACTTATTGTTTACATCACGCTTTTATGAATTCACAATTTCAATTTGTCGAGACGAAGATGAACGAGAGGAGATCGCGGCGAAAAAGAGAGCAACATTTTTTTCTTTACCCTAATCTATATTATATGCTATCGGGT